CCTCCCCCAGCCCCTTCTTCCCACATGCCACCCAGAATAGCCCTGGCATCCCTATTGGGTCAGGCTGCCAATTCACACCAGTCCACTGCTCTGCTCACCCAGCTGTGTCCTGCCCTGTTCCCAGAGCCTGCAGCCTTCAAGGTGCATCTCAGCTCCAGACTGGTTCTCATGTACACCTCAGAGACAGTATAGCATCATGAAAAGTGTCCGGGGAGGTTCAATTCCAAGTCTCTTCCTAATTGGATGACCTTGGACACAAAAGGCAGCATGATGTCTGCCCTTGTCTACACCTCAGGAGGTTGTTGTCAAATTCAAATGGGATATGTAAGCTCACTTTATACATGATAAGTTATTGTTTTACTCATTTTCCCACCACCCTCAGAGCTGTCACCAACGCTGCCCTGTCCATGTGCACAGCCTCTGGGGCTCCACCGCAGCAGAGCCAGCAAAGTGGGGCTTCTACAGCCTCAGCCTTTCTTGTTTTCATCTATATCATTTTTTTGTGTGTGTCAATCCTCACCCAAGGATATTGTTCCATTGATTTTTAGACAAGTAGAAGGGAGGGAGGGAGAAAGGGGGAGAGAGAGAGAGAGCGAGAGAAACATCGATTGGTTGCCCCCGGCATGACCCTGACCAGGGCCAGGGATCAAACCTGCAACCCAGGTAGGTATGTGCCCTTGACCAGGAATTGAACTCGCGACTCTTCGGCCTGTGGGCTGATGCCCTAACCACTGAGCAAACCAGCCAGGGCTTCATCCATATCTTTATAGAATCAGCAGGGACCCCAAGTGGGGTCCAGCATTCTTTTTTTACATTTCATAAAGTGAACCACAAGAATGTTCTTACGCCCAGCTGGTGTGGCTCACTGGCTGAGCATCGACCCATGCACCAAGAGGTCGCTGGTTCGATTCCCGGGTCAGGGCACATGCCCAGGTTGTGGGCCAAATCCCCAGTGGGAGGCATGCAGGAGGTAGCTAATCGATGTTCTCTGTCATCAATGTTTCTATCTCTCTCCCCCTCCCTTCCTATTTCTCTAAAATCAATAAAGAAAAAAATTTTTTTTAAAAAAAGAATGTTCTTACTACTCTCGTTGTAGAAGGCAGGCATTATTCTGGGCTCCTGTATGGCTTGTTCTATTCAAGGACAGAGCATCCTATCTGTGAATTACTCACCTGTTTTGTCTCCTCTTCTGTTTTCTGTCTGCCTTTTGGCTTCTTTCATTGCTCATTTGTATCCCTGCCTGAAATGAGCAAGTGGCATTGAGAATAAATCATCATCACCGGGGCCAAGTGCAGAGTCCTTGCTGTGTCCTGTGCTCAGTGTTTATCTTGTTTCATCTGAGCCATTCTGGAGGACAGAGCTGAGATAGCTGAGGCTCAGAGAGATGAAGCCATTTCCCAAGGACACAGAACTTTGAGAGCCAGCATTCAAACCTAGGTCTGTCTTTCTCCAAAACCTGTTATATTTTTTAATGGAAATAACTTCCTTGTATTCTTTCCTATCTTTTTAAATTTGTTTTGAATAATAAACTAATATAGCCCTGGCTGGTTTGGCTCAGCAGTTGGAGCGTCGGCCTGCAGTCCAGAGAGACCCGAGTTCAGTTCCCGTTAAGGGCACGTACCTCGGTTGCAGTTTGTCCCCGGCCCTGCTTGGGTCTTGCAGAAGGCGACCACTCAATGTGTCCCTTTCACATTGATGTTTCTCTCGCTTCCTCTCTCTCCCTCCCACTCTATCTGAACAAAAAAATGGACGAATGTCCTCGGGTGAGGATAAAAAAATAAAATAAAATAAATAAAGTAATACATCACACTTATCAAATTGCAGAAAGTAAAGTCTGACATACCATGAACTGGCTAGGATGCAGGGCAATGGAAACTTTTATAGGTATAAGCACTTCAAAGAGCAACTTGGCAATATCTAGTAAAGTTGAAATGCACATACCCTACAATGCAACCATTCCATTCCTGGATATATGCCCCAAGGAAACTGTTGAATATGTACTTGAAGATACCTGTATAGAAATGTTCACAGCAACGTTCTTTTTAATGAGGAGGAGGGTAAGTGAAGGAATCAACCTAGATATCCATCAACAAGAGAATATAGCTCTGGCTGGTTTGGCTCAATGGTTAGAATCTCAGACCTCAGACCGAAGGGCCGACTCCAGTCAAGGGCACATACCTGGGTTGCAGGTTCAATCTCTGGCCTCGGTCAGGGTCATGCAGGAGGCAACCAATTGATATGTCTCTCTCATCGATATTTCTCTCTCTCTCTCTCTCAAGTCAATAAAGAAAAAAATACTATATCTACATTTAATTTCTTAAAATAAGATTTTGTGTAAGTATAACAAAATGTTAAGATTTGACAAAGCTGGATGATATGCATACAGATATATATTATTCTCTATATTTTTCTGAATGTTTGAAATAACTCATTAGATATAAAGTTATACATAGTCATAGTAAAAACAATTATAGAAAACCCTAAAGATAATTTTAAAAATCCATAGTCACACCATGCAAAGATAATAACGGTTAACATTTTGTTTAATATCCACACTTTTTTTCTAAGTACAGACACACATTTCTTTTTTCGTTTGTTTTTATTTTGTTTTGTTTTTTGCACTTGTGGACATTTTAATGAGCTCCCCTCCATGTGACTCCAACACCATCGATCTTCCCAGCTCTTCAGCCTTGCTGTACCCTCCCCTCGGCTCTTCTGCTGGAGAATTTACAAACTGCTTCTGGGAACTTCCCTCCATGTGGCTTCAAGCTACCAGGACACAAGCCGCACCAACACCCTTAACCTTCTTTCAGCTCTTCTGAAGAATTTGGCCTTCACAATGACAGGCTGCTTTGGGAGCTTTCCCTTCCCCAGAACTTTGTAGTAGCCCGATCGCACCACATCAATGACAGGAGCAGCTCTAGTCTTGTTTTTGGCAGCATTTACCCATGTCTGTTCACTGGCCAAGGTCCACAATTTCTCAAGGTTGACAGTTGGGCAGAAGCTCTGGTTCCTCTTTAAGTGGTAATGCCTCATACCATCTTTCTCAAAGTAACCTGGGTGATATTTGTTGATGCTGATCCTGTGGTGATGCCAGCCACCAGCATTCCTCGGCCTCCCGGGTGCTTCCTGTGCTTGCCCCGTGGCCGTGGCCGTGGCTCTGTGGCCCCAGTTTCCGGGTCTTCCTCTATCTGGATGGCATGTCAGTGGCCGAGATGCAAGCCACATACATGTCTTTAAAAACAAAACAAAAAATGTCATCTTTTTATTTGCTTTTTTATTTATTTATTTTTTATTTTTTTTTCTTTATTGGTTTCAGAGAGAGAGGAAGGGAGAGGGAGAGAGACATAGAGACATCGATGAGAGAGAACATCAGTTGGCCACCTCCTGCCTGTCCCCCACTGGGGATTTCCTGACCAGGAATCGAACTGGCGACCTGGTGCATGGGTCGATGCTCAACCACTGAGTCACACTGGCCAGGCTTGCTTTTTTATTTAATATACTGTGGAAATCTTTTCATGGATACATAGAGCCATACAATGATTTTTTTTTAAATATATTTTTATTGATGTTTTAGAGAGAGAAGAAGGGAGAGAGGGATAGAAACATTGACGTGAGAGAGAAACATCAATGGGCTGCCTCCTGCAAGGCCCCCACTGGGGATCGAGCCTGCAATCTGGACATGTGCCCTGACTGGGAATTGAACCAGGACCTCTCAGTCCATGAGATGACACTCAGTCCACTGAGCCACACTAGCCAGGCCACAAAGTGATTTTAATGACTACATATTTTTCCTTCCCATGGCTGAATAATAGTCCCTCCTGAGCAGATTTGGGTTGTTTCTAATTTTTTGCAATTGTAAGTAATGTTGCAGCAAACATCCCGACATGTAAATTTATCCTCATAGATGATTATTTTCTTAGGGAAATTCCCAGGAGTGGGAATTCAGGGCAAAGAATATGTACTATTTATATATTTATTTATATTTTTATTGATTTTTAGAGAGAGACAGGAAAGGGTATGGAGCGAGAGAGAGAAAAAAAACATTAATCTGCTGCCTTCTGCATGCCCCCTGTTCTTTTTCTTTCTCTTTTTATTCCTCATCTGAGGAAATTTTTCTTATTATCAGATAGAGTGGGAGGAAGGGAGGGAGAGAGAGAGACATAGAGAAACATCGATGTGGTCGAGCCACATTGACTGGCTGCCTCCTGCAGGACCCGACCAGGGCCGGGGACGAACTGCAACCGACATGTGTGCCCTTGGCCGGAATCGAACCCGCGACTCAAGGGTCCGCGGGCCGACGCTCTAACTGCTGAGCCAAACCAGCCAGGGCCCCCCTGTTCTTTTTCAAGATTGTTTTTGCGATTTTGGAACCCTAGCATTTCCAGCCTGAGTTTTTAGTTTTTTGTTTTTGTTTTTTTTGCTACCTTCTATGAAGCAAAAGGAAAAGCAGAATCACTAATCAGTGGTTTTGTGTAGTATGTGAAATTAGTATATGAATCTGAAAGCTAAAATAAATTAAATTTGCTTTTTACATTCTAGTTCTCTGTCAACCCTTTTTACTGCAGAAAATAACTGAAGCAACAGGCGTCGAAGAAATGGCCCTGGCCAGTGTGGCTCAGTTGGTTGGGCATTGTCACGGGAAAGGTTGCTGGTTCCATTCCCAGTCTAGGGCACATGCCTGGGGTGTGGACTCCATCCCAGGTAGGGGGGTATGCAGGAGGCAGCCGATTGATGTTTCTCTTTCTCTCCTCCTCTCCCTTCCTCTCTCTCTAAAAATCAATTAAAAATCTTTAGGAAAAAAAAAAGAGTGAAGAAACATGTGCCTCCTTGTGTTATACTAGTTTTAGTTGTCAGGCTATATTATTAGAGGAAAGAGAAGAAAATTCCAGAACCTGCAGTGTGCAGGGCTGTCTCCTTGAATGATACTTACTTCCTCAGAATATCATCTGCCTTTGTGTTTGAAGGAAATCCATTCTAATATAGCCTCTTCCCTACAGCAATAACAGCCAAATGAAAAAGCGGCCAACATCTGCAGTGGGCTACAAGAGGCCTATCAGCCAGTATGCTCGCGTTGCCATGGCAATGGGGTCCCACCCTAGATACAGGGTAAGAAGCTTCAAAGTAGAAGGGGGGATGGGGGAGGGGGAAGAGAGCCCAAGGGAGGCAATGCTCACAGCCTCTGCTTCCTCCACCTACCTCGTCACCATTGCTACACCCAATATTTACGAGTACCTAGAAAGTACAGTCATCAGGCTGCAGCTCATGTCTGGTATGATCCTACCACAGGCTGAAAACATCATGTTTTTGGAGTTGGATGTATCCCCTCCAGCTGTCTTCGAGATGGAATTCTCTCATGACCAAGAGCAAGATCCCCGTGCACTACACATGGAGAGGCTCATGCGGTTGGACAGCTTTCTGGAAAGACCCTCTACATCGAAAGTTCGAAAATCCAGATCCTGGTCAGTACCACTGTGACTGGAGTGGGCAGTGGACTTCGGAGAGGAGGCAGGGAGACTGCATGGGTGTACCAAGAGGGTGTAAAGGGAGGGTGACGACCGGCTGTGTGTGTGGTGGGGAGTTTCTACAGCAGTAGGTTAAGGGAATGGACGGTTCTCACTATTCTCTTTCCTGTAATTTCCCAATCTTTCCTTTCACCTACTTGTCCCCACTCCCTGCAGGTGCCAGAGTCCTCACCGACCTCCACCCTCCACCACACATGCCTCACTGGCCTCCACTGCTCTGCGCCCTGCGACAGTGCTAGACCATGAGTGACAACCTTCAGTTAGGCTGCCCATCTGGCAGACTTCTGGGATGGAGCAGCCAACCCTGGATCATCTCATCTGCCGCTTGGTGTGGGTGTGTGTGCGCATGTGTGTGTTCGTATGTGTGAGGGGGTAAGAATCTAGCAGACCATGTCTCTGCCTGCTCTTCTTAGCCTCCTTTATTTAATTCATGTTATTTATTCGTGGAGCTCAGATAGTGTGGGGGAGAGGTCCTCGCCTGAGCCTGCCATGGTCACTGCATAGCCTCCTTTTCTGCTGACTGTAGACCCCCCAGTCAGACCTCAAGCTTCTCCCTGTCAGCTATCCCCAGAAGGGAAGGTGGCCAGTGCCTGAGAAGAAAGGAGTTTTTCTACCTGTCTCCAAAATTTCATCTCTTCCTAGGCTGATGGTGAGCAACTCCTAAGCACTTTCTCAGGCTAGAAAAATGTGGGGTGTTCCATGAGGACAAGAGCTGCCCTGACAGTGCTCCCAGCCCTTTCTGGGACTCAGAAAACCTTGTTCAGCTTCTCGGGCTCCTTTTCAAAGACTTAAAAGACCTCACCCACATGGCTCATGCTCTTCAGCTTTGCCAAGAATCCATGGCTTCCCAAACTCTGCTTCCTGCCTTCCTTCCCAAGCCTTGAGTAGGAATTGTGAACCAACCAGTTGCTGTCTCCTCAGGACCTGCAGGAAATGGAACAGTAATGGAGACATCATGGACAGTCATCAAGGGAAGTCCCTCCTCCGATGTCCTTTGTTTCTGTCTCCCTTCGAGAAGTAACTGGTCAACAAGTGGTCAAGCCAACTCCCTGTTTTTGAGATGCTGCTCCTTCCTGCTTCGATTGTCTTCCCTGCAGCTGCCTGGATCCCAGTTCATAGTGGGAGGAAACGATGTCATTATCCCTCTGGCTAAACAAAGCTATTGGAACCTGTTGCTCCCCCTTGATGTAGCACAGGAGACAGACCCAGGCACACTCTGCCATTTTGCCTGTTAACCCCTGTTTCTGAATCACATGTGTTGGACACTATTTTGTTGAAATCTGACCCTGTCTTCAGCATTGTGCAAATTGGTCCCTAGGGAAGTGCTCTTCATCTCCCTTTGTGACATCCCAAGATGTCTCTAGGTATCTCAAGAGATAAGTAAATTTCTACCAAAAAAAAAGAGAGAGAGAGAAGAGATTAATTTTCATTGACTTTTTAAATTTTTTTATTTGTTTTTTAATTTATTTTTTAAATTTATTTTTATTGAGTTGCTTTTTAACTGTGTATTTTGGTGAAAAGGTGAAGAGGTAATCATGAGAGAAAACCAGTGACTTAAGATTCTAAAATGCCCTAGTAGTGGGAGTCTGCAGTTCCTTGAATATGAATGTAGTCATTATATAAAAGCATAAAACTGACTGATTTGCCTGCATTTGATGTGTGGGAGGTGGTGGTGGGGGCTGATTAGCTGGTTATTCTCTTTCCATAAGGAAATTGACCCTTTTTACACTTTTCAGGTTCTGCTCTAAGGACCAAGCTATGGTTTGTTTTAAATCAATGATTCTGTCATTTCTGCTGTAATTGTCGGACTAGATGGTTGGGCAACTCAACTGCCATTTGCTCCTGTCCATCAAGGAGATAACATTTTTCATCAAAGCCCAAGAGATCATTTGAGACTCAGAATTCAGATCATTGATTTGGTTGAAGCTGGGACAGGAGTTATGTGTAGAAATTCCCCAGGTGGCCTGGGCACAGGGGGACCTCCCAGCCTGCATTGAGCAGCCTCTCCCAGAAACCTCTTTCTCCTCATTTGTGGATGAATCAGCACATGTCACCCCCATTCAACACTTGGACACATTGAGTCTGCATTGCCTGGTCACTTGACCTTCACAGTCTTATAGCACAATCTACCCAACTTCACCACCCCTGGACTGATGGCTGGGCCCGAGGTATGGTCAGAGGAGGAGCTCCTGCCTGCGGTTTTGTGTATGTGTGTATGTATGTGCGTGTTTGTGTGTGTGTTTAACTCCACAGGGGACATTCTTCCCTCAGTGTAAGATATGCTGGGAACAGGGCCACTGGGGTGGTTGGATCTCAGTCTCTCTGTTTTTCTCTCTTCTTTTCCTTTCGATGTATCAGACATTTGATTGACAAAGTGAGGGCCTTGCTTAGGACCAAATTTCCATGTCTGTTGCTATGGTCTTTATTTAGGACAACAACTAACAATGCAGTGGCCCATATATTACATATGTAATATATAAATATATATATATAAAACATTGCCCTCTGTCTCCGTGGCTTAGGATGAGGCCTCTCTGTTAGGCTGAAATGCACCTGCATCTCGGTGCTGCCAGCAGCCCGCAGGCCCCAGCCCTGTTCAAATTAACAGTCGATAATAAAGGAATGAGTATCGTTACAGAGTTGGTTGCCTGCCTTCTCTTTCCTTTATTTCTTCCTACTTTTACTCCCTTTTTCATTTTCTACCTTCTCTCTCTCTCCCTTGTTTTTCTAATGTGGGTTCAACAGTATTGGGAGCCCAGCTGCAGTTACCAGCACCTTGGCTGCTTAATAAAAGGGGACCCGTCTGTAGGGCTGAGGGGCAGGTCCCAGGCTCTTGTCTGAAGTCTGTGCCAGAGCTATGGTAGCAGCTGTTCATGTTCTAGTAGCGGTCCCCACCCAGTTAATTCTGAGATGTCAGCAGATTTTAGAACTGCCTAGATGCTGCCCAGATAAGCTGTCAATAGCATTTGACAGCTATGCCTTGTCTATGCCTCCGTTTATTAGCCAAGAGAGGCTAAAACAGCCAATAACGTGTGTGAAGCACATAGACGTGCCTAGCACATGGTAGTTGTTGGATTAAAATAACTTAAAGACTTTCTTCCCCTTTTCATCTGTTCCCAGGGCCTCTTTCCCTCCCTTCTGGTTTCTAGCGATTGGCTCCCTATAGCACCGAGGTCTTGTAGGAAATGAAAGCTGGTTGCTGCTAAAAAGCAAACACAAAGCCCCAGAGGTTAGCTTGGTGCATGAAGCACAGCAGTGAACCACTGTTTTGGCACTGATGATTTTCCTGGGGTGGGGGGAATCCCTGCCTTCATGCCAGGCTCCAGCCCTGCCTTCTAACAGATTCCCAGGCTGGATTGGCTTTGCTGTGTGAGAGAGATGTGCCAGGTGTGTGTCAGGTGTAAAGCACATTCAGGCTCATCTTATCCTCCCAGGCAGGAATTATTGCCATTGGTGTATAGATGAGATTTGGGGAAATTCTTCAGAGATACTGTGGGTTCATTTCCAGATTACCATAATAAAGCAAGTTATAATCTTTTTGCTCATGGAGGGTCTTTCCTTTAATTTGTAAAAAACAAACAAACAAAAACACAACACCTAGGAATCACAATAAAACGAGGTACACCTGTGCCTTGGCTAACAGTAATGAAACTGGACTTCCAGACTCTAGAGCCTATATTTTTTTCTTCTGTGCCATGCTACCTGTCTAGCCCCTCTGTGCCTCAGGAAAACTGACAGGCACCCTGCATGCTTTACAAGGAGTGGAAGCCAGGGACAGAAGGGCAGAGTGGTTGGAAATAAAACCAAAGCTCCAGACCCTAACCTAGAGCACTCATTAAAAGCATTCCTTCCTCGAGCCATTGGCAGCAGCTCACTTGTGTGGCTGACAAGGGTGGTTTTCTAGAGCTCCACAGAGAAACTGCTGTGTTTCACTCCTTCCTCCAAGACTAAGCACCTGATCTCCAGAGTCATTTCCTTGTGTTTCAGATGCGTAGGGCCGGGGTGTGTGTGTTAGAATTCTTAGCCATGACTAAAGATTTGCTTAAGCTGGCCTGAACAAAACGAGGACACAGAGGCATGAAGTGGACCCCAAGGACGAGAACAGAACCAGGCCTCAGACGCCACAAAGACCCTCCCTAGCCCACCATACTTCTTTCTGTGTGGGGTTCATGCTCTTTCCTCAGCTGCTCCAGTTGATGACGTAGAAGATATGTCTGCCAGTAGTTCTCTGTTTACATGATCCAGTCATCCAGAGAGACTTAGAATCTCAGTCCCAGTGCCAAGTTCATGGTAATGTGATTCTGATTCAGTGGTTTGGATCAGGTGGTTGGGAACATGATATATGAATAAGACCTGCAAGAGTCCTACTGCTGTAACCATGTATATGCGGGCAGGGGTGCAAATAAAGATGTTTCTCAAAAAAGATGATGAGGGTAGCGGGGGTGTGGTGGGGGGTAGAGTGTGCTCTGGCAGTCAAACAAACAGATGTCCATGACCAATGTGTCCATCACTCAGAATGGCTCATTCTCTTATTCTGGCCATTTTTCTTCTAACAGTTCACCTCATCAAAATTATTACCCCCCAAGCCCTGGCCAGTTTGGCTCAGCAGTTGGAGCATCGGCCTGCGGACCAGAGAGTCCTGGGTTTGGTTCCTGCTAGGGGCACGTACCCGCCCCCCCCCCCCAAAATTATTACCGTCCAAGATTCTGCTTCATTAGGTCCAGGATAGATCCATGTGGTGGACACCATAGGTTGCCTTTCCAATATCCATTCTTCCCTTCTGCCTTATTTACAAAATAATTTTGTATAAGGAGGGCAGTGAACACAATTGGAAATACTCATATTTCTAGACTCCCTTGGAGCAGTGGGTGGCCATGTGACATGGTTTTGGCCTAGGGGATGTAAATGAAAGGTGGCTAGGGATTTCTGGGAAATTATTTTGTTTTCTTGATTTAGACATTGCCTGTCTCTCCTCTTCCCCTTTCTTCTTCCTGCCTAGAACTCAAATGCACCTTCTGAAAGTATATTCTTTCATTGAACAAAAAATCAGTTAGCACCTGTTAGCCATATACTCCAAGTATTGTTCTAAGTGCTAGAGATGTAGCAGTGAACAGAACAGACAGAAGTCCCTATTCTCACAGTGCTTTCATTCTAGGGTAGGGTGAAAGAAGAGCATATTACGTATCAGATGGTGATAAGTGTGCTCAAGGAAAACAAAGCAAAGAAGGGAGATAGGGAGTTCCAGGTACGAAGGGGAGGGGATTGCGGTTTTAAGGCCCATACGAAGAAGGTGACATCTAAGTAAATTCCTGAAGGAAGTGGACTCTGCAGATATCTGGAGGAAGAGGATTCCGGAAGAGAGAAAACAAATGCAAACTTTGTGGACAAGATTGGGTCAGGCTTGTTCAAGGAGCAGAAGCCATACTGCAACCCTGAGGCAACAAGCACTGCATGTAAAGGTTGATGGGATAGACACACACGGAGACCCAATTTCCTGATGGGATTTGTGTTTCTGTGCCAGCCTGGGTCTGTCCACTTATGGACTTATAATGGTGCCAGACAGACCCCTTTAAGCCAATGTTAGGAGGAGTTGCCAGGAATCTGCATTTGAAATGAGCACCTCCAGGTGATTCCCATGAACCTCTCTCTAAAGACTGAGCATCTCAGTTGTAGCCACTTGTGATTCTGAGTCATGCTCACAGTGGGCCTGCCCTTCAACAAGCGCCAGCACCAGGGCCACGTGCCTGTGTAGGCACCATGACTGTGTTCAAAGATGGTAGAGGCAGAGGGCACAAAGCCACTGAGGGCACAGAGCCCCTGGGGCCCCTGTGCTCAACCACATCTTCTCCATAACTGATGGGGAGAGGGAACAGGGTGCTCACTTCTTTGAACTAGAAACCCAATGTGATTATTTGTTCACATCCAAAGCTCCCATTTTCAATAACTAAAAGAAGACCCAGAAAAGGAGAGTGTCTGCCCAAAGTCACACAAATGGTTATCAGGTGACATGGGCCTGGAAGGCATAAGGACTTACTGGTCAGACATACTGTTTATGTTTTTTGTTGTGTGTTTATTTTTTAAATAATTTTTCTTGAGACTTCCGGTCAAGATGGCGGCGTAGGTAAACGTGGTATCGCGTCCTCCCACAACCACATCAAAGTTACAACTAAACTACAGAAAAACCATCATTCAAAACCGCCTGAAATCAAACTGAATGGAAGTCCTACAACTACGAAATTAAAGCAGCAACCACATCCAGACTGGTAGGAGGGGCGGTGGCGGACGGGCTGCTCCCACACCCACGTGTGGCGGATAAAAATCAGGAGGACACCTCAGCTGGGAAGGTCCTTCCTGAGGACTGAGGGGTCCCCGTCCCACACCAGGTGCCCCGC